AACGTGAAACAACAGCATCCATGTCTATGCAGACAGTCACAGAGGAGGAAGAAACCAAACATGAAACAACAGCATCCATGTCTATGCAGACTGTCACAGAGGAGGAAGAAACCAAAAGCATCATCAGCATCTCCACACAGACCGTCACTGAATCAGAACAGCCTGAACCAGTAGCAGTTGCCTCCGTTGAGAGGAAGAAATCAAAGAGCAAATCAGCCTGCATCATGACTGATGAGGATGTGGCAGGACCCTCGCACTCAGCAGAAGAGTCAGAGCCAGAAGTCATCACTTGCTCTCTGTCCCTGGGTGAGCTGCATGACCTGTGGAGGGTCATGCTGCTACACATCTGGGATGCTGCAGCCAAAAGCACTTTGAAATACACAAAGTATTCCAAGTGGAAGCAGGATCTTATCTTGGTTTATGAAAGAGAAGGAGAACTTAAAAGAATGAGTGAGGATTGATACCAACCACACACAAAAGAAGAAATGTGTGGTGCCATGAGGCATTTTCCAAAGTAGGTCATGCATCAATGACAAGCACACATTTTGCCTTCCAAAATGTGTTCTGCCACTGTGTATCTTGGCCAGTGATGCATGAAAACCACTCTAGTGCTTGCCCTGCACTTGTATTGGACACAGGGAGAGCAGGGAAGCAGCAGCAGTGAACTGTGCAGCAAGCTGAGAGTCCTTCCAAGCACAGGCTCTTTTGCACAAGGAAGAACTTCTGGAGAAATGGAGCCAAGGGAATAGCAGAGCTCACTTCCATTCCAGCTTGAAATGGGCAAGAGAGCCAAAATATCAAACCACTGCAGAAAACAAAAAGAAACAAACAAACAGAAAGAAATACAACTTTTATTAAGCATTAATGAAGCTTATAGTCCTGCTTCATTAGGAGCAGGTTAGCTGGTGCTCAAAATAAAAAGTAAAATAATGAAAAGCATAGCCAAGGTTGTCTTTCAGTTTGTAAAACCTTCTACAGCAAACAAATAAAACTCTAACAAGTAAAACCAATGTTGTATGGTGGCTCTGAGGCTAAGAGAAACCTTCAGCCCAGTGAAGAAAAGCATGGCAAAGGAAAAAGCAATAGTTCAGTGCATGATTTCCCACAGTTCACAACAGAGGCAATAGGAACAAAAAAATGACTTCTGTCTGAAAGACAGAGAAGGAAAAAAAATTACCTCCATCTTCATTATGAATTCCCTGAACAGATATGTGTTTTAGATGTTTGAATATTCTCAGTTCTGGAATTTAAAATACTTTAAAGTTGAGAACAAGGTGGAGAGTTGATCATCTTCCACAGAGAGAAATAATTTTTCTTTTTTCTGGACAGACAAGTTGTGTTCCCCTTAAAATCATGTGATTCTATGCGGCATAAAGTTTGCACATTATACTTGAGATTAAAACTATCTTTAGGATTATTTTGTAAAAATTTCTTAGGTAAAATTAAGAAATATCAATGCAGCTCTACCTTAGACAGCAAACTATCTTTAACCTTAGTACCTGAAAGAATGATAGAGAAGGTCATGCTGGATGCAGTTTAAAGACTTTTAAAAATAATGCAATCATCAGTCACAGTCAATGTGTTTTCTTCAAAAGTAAAGCTTCTTTGTCTAGGTATAAGACTATTTTAAAAATCCCTACAAAATAATTATTACAGTTGCTGTTTTTAGGATTAACCAGAGACAGCTTTGAATCTCTGGCCACACATTCATTGAAACAGGTGTTAAATTTACATCATAAATTATTATCCTAGACACAATAATTTTCACACAGGGTACTTTTACTTGAAGGCAGTATGTGAAGAGCTTTAGGTACTATGTTCCTTCCCTTGTTTCTTTGCAAGGTAGTTCATACAGTCCTGCTGTGTTGTTGACTGATGCATATTTTAAGGAGAGAAAGAGGAGCTTTGTAAGCAAAGGTCATATGTGTTCAGAAGAATTGACCGGTAGTCCATAACTTTTGAGTTTAAGAATATTAATTTAAAAGGTGTAGGATTACATTGGGAAGCTTGCTTCAGTTTCATGTATGACGACTTTCCTGCAACAGTAGTGTTTATTTGCCTTTTTTCTATTGATAGGCTTTTATGTTGTTGAGATAGCTGTCTCCAAATACAGAGCTGCTGTGCTGCTTCTTCCACAGTAAAAATCTTACTATCATCTTTCTTCCTGTTGCTTTTTTCAACTGCTCTGTGTGTGGCTGAAACAATATGACTTAAACTATGAAAGATCAGATGTAGCAAAGGTCATTTATAAAGATTTTTTCCTGTTCTTCAGTTTCATGAAGTTTGTCAAAGGAGAATATTTATTTCCTATGTGCTAGGTATTTCACTGAATTCAGTACAGTTACTGAATAGGAAAGTTCAGCAATTTCAGCAGCAGAAAGCTCTTCTGGCAATCCTTACCCTGAAAAAGAGAAAGATTTGCAAGAGATTGCTGCTGAACAAAACATGTCCCAGCAAATGAAATTAAAATATGCTAATGAATAAAAAAGTACAATATAGTAAATAAAACATGGTACTGAATAAAGCATGGTGAATAAAATAAAAAAATTAGCAGTCTCTTTCTTTTCATTGGAACTAAAAATTCAGCCTTTAGCTGTGATACTCATCATTGCATCTTTTTTTTAGAAAATTCATTTGAATATGATGGGAATGGTTTTGATTTTATCCTGGTTTTGTTTTTCACTGTTTTTTTCTACATGCATCTCTTCTGTGTCTTTCACAAATAAACCTCAAGTGACTTTGAGTATGCTTCTTCAGACGCTTAAAGGAACATAATGAGCAGATGTGGTAGGAGGGAATTGAATTCAACTCCATTCACAACACATCAGACATCTTCTCTCCATTGACAGCTGTGTGGTTTCAGTGTTGTGGTAACTCCTGCCCTGTCTCTGTCTGGGCAGCCTTAACTGGAGCTTAGAAGACTGTCTCCTCTGAAGGTGATGTGTAGTTAAGGTTTCAGACAGCTTTCTGGATACTCAGTACAAATTAACTTGGATCCACTCCAGTCTGAACCCAATGAAGCTGACAATAGTCCCATAAGGAAGAAAAGGGAACACCAAACAGGACTCAATCAGTATCTGTCCGTACTTGCAAAGTATAAGGTAACTTTATAGGGCTAGGCCATAGTAGCATTAATCCTTCTTCTCTAATAGCTGTGTTCCAAGTCCCACACACATGGAAGAAGAAAGAGCAGGTCCAAACCAAAATCACACTGCTGGGGCAGAAGACATGCAGGAACCCTTCTGAGAGACCACAGAAATCCTTGTTGCAGTAAGTCAGGCAAACATCAAAATGCTAAAGCTTGACCTGTATTTAAAACCAATGATAGCAACCATAATTAAGAAAGAAACTAAAAAGAAGAAGGCATATCTCAGAGCTAAAGCTCTAAAATAGTCATAGTGTTAATCGTCACTTTGCACCAAAACAAAAGCTATATGCTTCTGCCGGCCCAGGAGCCAGCATATAGACATGAAGATTTCTTCCATATTGGAAATGGAAGAAAGGCAGGAGTTTGTGGGTTCAGAAAAAGGAGGAAATAAAGTAAAGGGGTGAAACACGGTAAGAAGAAACCAGAAGGAGAGCTACACAGACAGCAGACTTTATAAGGCATCTAATTATTCTGAAAAAAGAGCTGTCTATTTTGTGAGTACCAAAAAAGGCAAGGACCGACTGTTGTACTACAGCATGTTCCAAAATGGCCAGCCTTCACCTCCAGATACAACCTGTAGATTGGAGGGGGGAAGAATCACTGCACTTTTACAGCTATAGTACAGCTATAGTACAGCTATAGTACAAAAACACCACTACTTATCCCAAAGAAGTCGACATTTGGCATAGCAAAATTCAAGTAACTTAACTGAGAAGTCATGGGTCAAGTCTGAGATGGAAAGAATGGCGAGGTTGGAGGGAAAAAAGGTACAGTAGAGGTAAGGATAAAGGAGTATGTGGAATTCTGTCAAAGTATAAGAAAGGTCATATGGGACCCAATTCTGTCATTTATTATTCACAACTCCTTAGTTTAGCAATTTAGATTACCTTTTTATTTTTCAAGTGCTCTGTAAACATAAACAGGTCATGACCATTCACTTTCAACTTACTATCATATGTTTAATCAATAAAACACATTAGAATGTGAGCTGACATCAAAAAAATCATTTAAATGCATGCTGTGGAACCTGTAAGTTCTGCTTAGTACTCAGTCCATTAATTTTTGGTTTGTTTGGGGCATTTTTTAAATAAATTAGCTTAAGAGTTGCTTGCATATTTCCCAAGTACACATTGCAAGAACATCAGCAGAGTCCCCACAGACTGCTTAATATTGCTGGGTAAGTGGGAGTAAGTGGGATGAGATCCCCTACTGTCAGCCAACCATTTGGTTTGCTGCCTCCTCAGTGTGGAATTTTACTCCTTATCAAGGGCAGTGTATAAGAGAAATTCTGTTTATTGCACTTGCCTCTGCAGAAGAAAGAGGGACAGGGATATGGAGGCTGTTACACATTCTGCATTATTTGGAATATACTACATAAAACACAGATTGGTAAATTCAGGTCATGAGCAGAAAAAAAAATCAGTGTAGGGAGCCACACATGAGGATATGTGCACAATCTTTTGACCATCCTGCTGGACTTGGGAAAGGACTTCCCTGTTTTTTCTGCAGGGCTACCAGACCAGCTGACAAATCTAGGGGAGCCTGTATAAGAAATCAGCCAAGCTTAAACACCTATTTGATTTACTGAGAAAAAGTGCATTTGTATAAAACAATGCACTATTAAGTGTCCTCTCCTCTTTTGCGAGCAAGTAGTGCTTGTGTAAGGTGTATGCAACAGGTATAGCATAAGTTACAGTACCTCAGGTGATTAGAGGCTATTCAAATAATAGTAAATTCAGTTGAAAAATTAAAGGAAATTCACAACTGATGATTGAAGGTGCAGATCTAGAAAAGACTAATTTAAGTTCTGATTTGGCAGATCATCTCATCACTACTTCACAACTTTACAAATTTAACTCATTTTGTTAAATGAGGAAGTGAACTTCTCTAAAGTCTCTTTGAAGGACTTGATCAAGTAAGCTCCCAGTTCATTGTTTGTCTCCTGAACAGCTGCATCATAACTCCCAAAGAGTGGTGTTGAAGCCTTCACATCGTCTCTATTCGCTTGGAGTAAAATGAAATTAAGCTCCTCTGCTACCCTTTCATATTTTTGGTGATCAAACGTGCAAACACTGGCATCATCAATGGGGTAGGTGATGCCAATAGGGTAGCAATCCCTTGGAACTGGGAACTCCACATTTTTCAGCATTGGCAATTCACAGAGAAATGTGAAAAGGTGTTTAAGTGCTTGGGATGACAGTGGGTTTCCAATAAACTTAAACTCCTGTAGTTTCTGACAAGGGCTTAAACTTAAAATCAACATGTTGACATGAGTGTCTTGGATATTACAGTCCTCCAGGGTAAGACTCCTGAGCACTGAAGAGCAATGGCTGAGGAGCTTAAAGAATGTTGATGGGTAAAGCTCAGGTATATCGTGACCACTCAGGTCCAGGGCTTCCAAGTGATTGGCATGGAAGCTATTGGCTAAAAAGGCCATATCAGCATGGTTCAAGGAGCAGTTAGAAACATCCAGCATCTTCAGTGGAGTTTTTAGTGGGCTGCAAAATGAAAGAGAAAAATGTTTTATGGTACAAAATGTTGAAAAGCTACATTTACAAAATTTCATGCATCTAGCCACATTATGAATGCAGCCATCTACCACATAATTTTTTCAAATCTCTCTTGAAAATTGAAGCATGTGACAACAATAGCAAGTATATTTTCTTCCTGAAATTAGTTCCATTAATTATCTCTTTCTATGCATGAGTCCACTATGCTATTTTAATGGGGATTAATTTACTAACATTCTATGTATCTATTTTTTAACCAGTTATATATTGTAAAGTGTCTGTCACTTGCTGACTTTAACAGCAGATCACTACTACTATAAGAGCATTGGTAGCTGCTTCTTGTAGAAAGCTGCAATTATTCCAGAGATTTAGATCATTTCCATTAAGGAAGGATTAATTCCAATATGAAATAAGAATTCTGACAGGATATCTGCTTTTGTTTCTAGCTGTTTTTTTTCTGCTACATTTTTTAATGCCCAAGAGGTTTATACATTGTATTGTTCTGGAGTTGCAAAGAGACATTTTGATGAAGAAGGATGGAAGAAGTGTAACTGAGATTTTACTCAGATATTTATATTAAATATAAAATAGTTCTGACAAACGAAAAGCAAGAGATCACTTTCATGCTTACTACACCTTAGTGAGACTTCTGCTACAGGGCTCAGCTGGATCAAGCTTAGAAACTTGCATTTCATTTCAACTGTACCAGTCAATATATGAAGTATGCTACTCACAAACTTTAAATAAAATGGTTTCTTGTATGGGAAGAATTTTAGACCAAGGTCATTTGTCTGGGTGAAACTTTTATCTGCCTTTTTTTTAGATGCTCTGAAAAGCTTACAATTAACTTATTACCTGTTCCAATACAAGTACTGCTCACTGGTAGTTTGCTAGCTTTTTGCAAATTGCCAGTTTTCCACTGGAATTCATAATGAATATTCACATATCAGCTTAATTTGCAATGCAAAAAAATCTTGTCTTGACATCAAGAGACACAACAAATAATTCAAATCAAAGTCTCAAATGAAAATCAACGATTCCCCTGCCCTCCTTAAAATACAGTATCTGTGGAAAAGCATATTTACTGACTGTTCTTTAGAGGACAAACATTCACTAGATACTCTAAAAAATGATTGGAATACAACTCAGGACTTGCACCAAAGGCCGATGCAAGCTGATTAATACATAAGTTCAAATAAAAAATGTCTGGGTATACCAGTCTCTTCTGTGGTAGCTAAAAGTATATTCTCACCAGATGGACTCTGGAAGATTAATCAAAATAGTCAGTTTTTCAAAGTGTATTAGATATACTTTGGCTGCTGATTCTCCCCAACACATAATTTTTCCTAGCTTCCTGCTGCCCCTTCCCACATACATCCCAAGATACACTCACTTCCCTTACTCTTAGAGATTCCCAGCTTGACGGTGGCACACAGTGGTCTTTTTTACAGTGTGACTGAAAGCAGGATGACCACATTACCTGAGAAGTTTCTGTATTCTTCCAGTGAGTATAGAAAATGACATACTCAGCTCAGTAAGCTGTGTCATTTCACCCATCTTCTTGCCAATGTTAGTAAGCGTCTGTTCGTCCGTAGCTGTGAACCTCCGCACATTAAATGTTCGTGCTGGCAAGGTCAAGGACATCAATAGAGGGAAGTGGATACGGTTGAAGAGCATTTCCAAATGTTCCATTTCCAAGTGAACATTATGAACTATTTCCAGTTTGCGCAACAGGGAGGGATCAGTGAGCTTTATGATATAGAAGAATTTCTGTAAGGTCAGGTTGTCAGACCTGAATGCCACACAGCAGATTTTCAGTGGACAACTGCATTTCTTCAACAGGGCCTGCACGACCAGCTCATAGTTCCACTCTGTAACAAACAAGTCAATTAGTACATTGATACTGACTTCAAAGGTACCTGGATTGCACTGTGCTTGTTGCAGGTAAACCAGGAGATCTGAACAAAGCTTAGCGAGCAGCTGTGTCCTGGCCCACCTGCCCATTGTCTTCTTGCACTTACAAAACTGAACTTCAACATCTTTTATACCAGTCAGGTCGACCACTTTCAACTTTTTCATGTAGGGAGAAGACTGATTCAGCACATAGTCTCTCAGCCCTGTCAGACAGCTTTCCAAGCACACTGAGCATGTTCTATGGCTCAGGTCTTCCTCGTAGTCCAGAGTAGCTCCCAAAAGTTTTCCCATGTTAAAATCAAAAAGCGGCCAGTTCTCTACCAAGTCATGAATCACTTCCCCTTGCTCCAGTAAATAGCTAGCTTTAAAAAGAAGCGGAAAAAGATCATGAGCAACAGCCCCGAGAGTCTTCCTGGCAAACTCTGCATTTGACACGAATGCTTCGGCGCTAATGAATCGGAGAGACTTCATGTTGTCCTGGACTCCTTACTGTCATGGAGAGTGACTTCTATATTTAACTAAAGATCCTGGTTGCTTACAACCTTCTATTTTTATCTGCAACTGCTGTTTGCTGCTAGCGGGAGCCTGGGAAGCCAGAGTGAAGAGTCACATGCTGCTTTCTATTTTAGAGCTACACTGTGAGTCTGCAGTAATGATCTCTGAGATCTTTAGTCAGAGAGCTTTTATGCCCTCATAATTCTATCTAAGATAATTCAAGTAAATATAGACTGCTACGCAGCAGGAAAGTGCAGCACACATACATGAGAATATTGCTGTATTTTTTTTTATGTCATACAAAAAAGCACTCAGAATTCCACTTAAACAAAAGACATGATCTCTGTTCCACTTTTTTTCAATGAAAGATGCTATGCTGAGGATTTACATGCTGATTTCAATAGGGATCATTACCCAGAGTTAGCATTGAGCTTCTCCTAAAAACTACAGCCATAAGGAAAAACTGAGGCACTACAGTCATTGAACTACAACAATGCCCCTCCATTTTGCCCTTCCTGTCAGCAAGGAATAGCTGGTACAGTTGCTGCAGTGGAAAAGAAAAAAGACTCTGATTTATTAAAAATATGAATATTGATCTAGTACTGATATCCAACTGTGACGGACAAAGATGCTCTAACAGTTTAAAGTTAGAAAGTGTATGTTTATTGCGATTCTGGGCATCGTCTGGGATAGCTCCCAAATACACACTGCAATTTACAGGTGATTACAGAGTCCTTTTATCTATTGAATACCCAAAATACAAATGCATATTCATAACTTCAGTACATCCCATTCCCTGCTTCATATGGTAATTAGTTCAAAAGCTATTAAGCATGTGTAGTTTGTTCCTTGAAATGGGTCAGTGGTCCCTTTCATGGGGAGGAGTCCCAAAATGAGGAAGTAAATGAAGTCTTCCTTGTTCTGACCTTTCTACCTTTTCAATGCAAATATGACAAATGAACCCTTGGTAGAACTCCCATTCCCATCTTCAATTGGTTTCAGAACAGAGGAGGCCTACAATTGTCTTATGTTCCTAAAAGCTATTTATCAATTTCTATATTCTTCATTATAAACCCAGCTAACCAGACATTATGTTGACAAGCAATCAAAGTTAACTACTAACTCTTAACCTCATCAAGGCCTACCCATTTATTTTGATTAACTCCAATAAAGCTTATTTCTAACTAAAACCTCAGCGCCTCTAAAATCCTTAAATTCTTTAAAGTTTATGTCTCAACTCTGGAAGAGCTCAGAGTCTTGGTGACCAGGACACTTGTTTGTGGTAGGAGACTGAACGTTGATTGCAAGACAAGCTGAACAAAACACAGCACTGTTAAAACTCTCTCATAACTTCTCAGGCAAGTATCTTAGTGCTCTTGCTTTGAGCAACAGACAGTCTTTTCTTTCCTGTTATTTAAGAAATTGTGATACTGAATGGGAACACATTCAAAATCTATCCAGGCTAGGAGAAAAACCTCTGTCACCTACCTATCACAAGAGCAGAGATGATGTTTCTTTCAATCTGGCACTTCCTCCCAGGGGACGCAATGATGGACACCTCTCTTACCTCTCATGTGTTTTGCTAGGCAGCTAGTGGGATGGAGATTTCCTTCACGCTGTGCTGATCCTGCTTTTCCAGATAATTCCACATCTGTTTTGCTGTGAAAAATTCACACCACGGTTCAAAGTTTCAGTCTCTTTTTTCTTTTCAAGTAAACTCCTTATGGAATATTTGAGTATTTTATTGAAAGCAAAAGAAAAATCCCAAATATGCTTTATATTACAGGAAGGAACATCTTTATTAGATTGTGTCATTCTGAGGAAGCTTTTTATTTTTGCAGACTTTTGGTGTGTGTTAATTTTGCATTCAAATAGATGAGTGGTGAAAAACATGCAAGGTGAAATACATAGAACTTGACAAGGTATTAGGTATTTTCCTTTGTTTTTCAACTCCATGTTGAAAACATCCATGTGTATCAGATGATAATCACGTAGATATGACAGTACTTTCTGCAACTTAATAAATGCCGAAAATATTATTAATATTATATATTAATAATATATATTACACTATATATATTATATTAATAATATAATATAAATAAATGCTCTATGGCTACATATAACTGATCCCTGTATGATAAGAAAATTGATTGAAACTTTTGTCAGTTTAGTTTTATTGCCTTTCAAAATGGAATAAGCTTGTCATTAAGTTTTTATCTATTTACTCAGTACATCTGGATCTCTTTATTTCCCAGCCTAGTACATTTGGACCTCTTTATCTGTTTACGTCGTACATTTGGACCTCTTCATCTGCTTACCTGGTATATTTGGACTAGTGTTCCAAAAGTTGCAAGATAAAGTATTCTATTATTGTCCCAGATTTTATTAAAATACAGCAATAGGAATGCTGCCTGGTTGTGTAGGGATGGGGTCAGAAAGGCCAAGGCTTGGCTGGAACTGAACCTGGCAAGGGAAAGAACAGTAAGAAAAGTTTCTATAGGTATTTCAGCCAAAAAAGAGAGGTCAAAGAAAGAAACACAGCTGGGAAACTGATAATAACAAATTAGGAGAAGGCTGAGGTCCAATTGTGCTGCCTCAGTCCCCACTGACAAATCTCTCTTCCCACACCTCTCAAGGCAGGACTAGGGGAGCAAAGCTCCTCCCACTGTAAAAGATGGGGCTTTTGACCACCTAAGGAACCTGAATGTCCAGAAGTCCATGGAACCTTATGAGATGAATGCCAGACTCCCAAGGGAATTGGCTGATGCAGTTGACAAGCTACTCTCCATGACACTTGAAAATTCGTGCCAGTCAGGTGAAGTCCCAAGTGACTGGAAAAGGGGAAACATTGTACCCATCTTTAAAATGGATAGAGAAGATGACCATGGGAACTACTGGCCTGTCAGCCTCACCTCTGTGCCCGGGAAGATCCTGGAACAGGTCCTCCTAGGAGCTGTGCTAAGGCACATGGAGAACAGGGAGCTGATTTGGGACAACCAGCACAGCTTCACCAAGGGCAAGTCCCACCTGACCAACCTAGTGGATTTCTATGGTGGAGTGACTGCATAAATGGAAAACATAAGCACTGTGGCTGTCATTTCTCGGGACTTCTGTAAGGCCTTTGACATGGTCCCTGACAAAATCTTTCTCTTTTAATTGTAGAGAGATGGATTTGATGTGTGGACTGTTTGGTGGATAAGGAATTGGCTGGACAGCTGTATCCAGAAAGTATTGGTCAAGAGCTGACTGGAGATCAGTGAGAAGTGGTGTCCCTCAGGGGTCCATATTGAGAAAAGGACTGTCTCAATCAATGACATCGTGGCAACCAGTGCACCCTCAGAAAATCTGCAGATGACATCAACCTGAGTGTTACAGTTGACATGTGCAAGGGATGAGATGCCATCCAGGACCTGAAAAAGCTTAGAAGTAGCCTCATGGGAACCTCATGATGTTCAACAAGACCAAATGTGAGGTGCTGCACCTGGGCTGCGGCAACTCCCTGTATCAACAAGGGTATGAGAGGATTGAGAGCAGCCTTGAAGGGAAGAACTTGGAGTGCTGGTAGAGATGAGCCGGCAAGGTGCACTCACAGCCCAAAAAGCCAACCCTTATCCCAGGTTCTATCAAAAGCAGTGAAGCCAGCAGGGCAAAGGAGAAGATTCTGTCTCTCTCCTCTGGAGAGACCTGACCTGGAGTCTAGACTGTCAGTATTTACCTGTCTAGAAGCCCTTACATCTTTATCCAGGTATTTCTATATGAAAAACTATCCAGGTTTACCAGTCTGTCTAACCTTGTGTTGTGGTTTAAATCGAGATGGCAACTAACTCCCATGTGGCTGCTCACTCGCTTCCCACTCCCCAGGGGGATGTAAAAGAGAATTGCAAAACCCATTGGTTGAGATAAGAACAGTTTATTAATTGAAATAAAGTAAAAAGGAAAAAAAAAAGAAAAAGGGCAATTAAGACCAAACCAAAAACGAAAACCCCAACCCCACCTCTAAACAAGCCCTGAACCACATTCATCTCCTAGCAATAGGACCATGCTGGTTTCAACATCCCAAGAGTATTCAAATTTTTCAAAATTCCCAAATGCCACTGTAATTAGCCCAGAGAAGCAGATGTGGCATAATATAGGTGTTATTGTTAATAGTTCCCACCAGATGGCTCCCGAGGTTCAGAGGCGTTGCAGTGCCATGCAGGCAGAGAGGATTAGGCTCACGACCAGTGGTTCTATTACCTCACAAGCCATTACTACAAAGTACAACAAAATTATCACTTCAGCTCAGGCACCAAAGGTGATAAACAACACATACGGGAACACATACTGCAATAAGCTATGACATAACACAACTCTGAGAATGAGGGTAATAGCCCTGAGACCAAATTAGGCTTACATAGGCAAGTAAATAAGTAATATTGTTAATCTCTTTCCTAAGAGTGATTATTGTAAAGCTCAGATCTCTGCTGCTTTCTACAGAAAATTTCTGACTTGCCAAGCTATCATGAAAATTTGAAAAGTCCATGACATTTGTGGTCTAGAATCTGATCTGTGTGGATGAGATTTTATATCGGCTTCATCTACAAGGAGCTAAAGAAGTTATTACTTTATTATGAAAGGCATAGTTACACAGGAAAAGTAATACTAATGATTGAAAAAAAATCATAGGTTTTACAGAGTATAACGTGAACATCATAGCAACTATTTTACATTATAATGAAGTAAAATAATGATTTTCATTACAAAAAATGCAATTAAACTTATTACAAAGAAAAAAAAAAAAGAGCAATTAAATACCACACAGTCACTCATACAAATTGACAGATTTTTTCAGCTCATCCTTCCTCCTCTCTGTCAGAATGTTTATGTTACTCAGGTATTAATCAGGTATTTGTTAAAGACTTGATCTTTTTCTTCCATATTTAATGAACAATTGTCTGGCACTTGTTGCACTCCTTTCTTGTAATATTGATGTT